TTCACAACTCAACGCTTTTATACCCAAACTCTTGGGATTAATGAATTCATTGCAACCCATCTGTCGAGCGATCGCTTCCTTCTCGCCGTTGATATCGATTCCGACGATAGTGTCGGCCGAAGAGTCCTTACAGCCGATAACAGCCGACAACCCGATGGCTCCCAATCCCCAGACCGCACACTTCCCGCCCTTATGCACCCGCGCTATATTCGTGGCACTACCATAGCCGGTGCCCACAGCGCACCCAATGATACAGCCCGTCTTGAGGTCGGCCGAAGGGTTCACCTGAAACGCAACGAGTGGTCAGACGATGGCAGAAGGCGTGGTCTTTCAGGACTCATACTTTGNAGGGTTCACCTGAAACACAACGAGTGGTCAGACGGCGGCAGAAGGCGTGATCTTTCAGGACTCATACTTTGGCGACTTGTGATTGGCGGACGACGGCGTACTCGGAGAAAGTGGACGTTCCGGCTGTTGGGCGCGAAACTCAAATTCAAACTCTGTTTTCGAGCCGCGAATACGAACCCAAAGAGAGTAACGGTTTTCCGTTGACTTTCATTCGCGTCTCGCGGTTGTCGTGATATAAAGTGGTGTAGAAATTGCCAACAGAGCAGAAGTTGGTCTTCGGATTGCGGCAAAGGTCGCAAACACCGCACTCAGGCATCCACATCAACACCACTTTGTCGCCCGCAGACACCGCCGTCACACCCGCGCCCACAGACTCCACCACTCCGGCGCCCTCGTGACCCAACACCACCGGCAGGCCCTCGAAGTCGAGCGCCAGGTCTGTGGGCCAGCCCCACACGAAGTGGGCGTCCGTCGCGCAAACGCCCGCCGCTACCATTCGGACGCGGACTTCGCCCTAAACCCGAAAAGTGTCCAAAAATAGAACCGTTTGTAAGAGAAATGAGAACTAATTGTGGGTTTTGTGCGATCCTTAACCTTCTTCGGCGGATCCACGGTTATCGTCTCCACCGTCAACGGAGAGCCCTCTTTCCATAGGACGGCTGCTCGACAGGTAATTGTCTGTGAGGACAGGTATTATAGAAACTGACAGACAATAGAAATAGAAATTAGAGAATACCTTTCCTTCGGTAGACATTTTGCGAGAATATAACTGTAAAACTGTTAAACAAATGATTTGTTTTTATAGCCTTTGGCTAATCGTTGTCATAAGAGATTGTATTCTTATCTGAAAAGCATTTCACTATTTCTAAAGAATTAGTTACTATTTATCGCAGATTTGAAGGTTGTTTGATCTCATAATACATAAGGTATTATCGATACTTATTTTATTTAAAAAAAACTGTTTTCCAACACTTTCTCTATTTGTCTCCAATTATTATACAGATGTCTGAAGGTTTTGATTGATTTTACAGACGACTTGCGGTCATTTATAAGTCACTCCAATTTGAATACATTTCCTTTTAAGACCCTCTTTTAAGCCAATATTTTGTCCCATATTTGGCTCAAACATTAATTTGAAAAACAAATGAAACATCAATCAAAGGAAATCTGTTATCTTTCACTCAATATTATCTTAATTCAATGTATTGTAAATCAAATCCAAAAAGAAATTACAGTAAATGCTTATTAGTTGAAAACAACAGAGCACTCAATGGCCTTTAAAACACATCTTTTCATTCAATCAATACGACCAAAGGGTATGTCTTAAGGCCTATGTATAAAATGTATTCATTTTATTGAAATCTAAAATCAATTCAATATAAAACACCTAAAAATCAGTTAAAACCAGAAATCACTTCTTCACTCCTTTTCGGTCCCTTCTTTTCCCACATATCCGAAGGCCAGACCTGTTGTTTCGGAGGTCTTTGTTGTTGTTGTTTGGCCGGTCGGACGGGTTTTTCCTCATTGTACGGACGGTTCGGTCGCGACTCTCCGTTCGGCCGATTCTGTGACCAAACCGGCGGTCGTTCTTCCGGAGCGCTGTTTGAGTGTTGAGTGAGTGGCCACTGAATGTCATGCCATCCCTCTTCTTGCGACGGACTCTCTGACCACTGACTTTGCGACCATTGGTCGGCATTCCAGTGCTGAGGCTGTGGTTTCGTGTTTTGCGGTTTAGACGGTTGCTGCCAATTGGGAGCCGCTTCCTCTTCCCTCTCCTCTTCGTCCCAACTCTCACTCCATTGAGGTTTCTTTGGCGGAGAGTTAGGTTTCGGTCTATTACTCGCTGTTTCCGACCACTCGTTATTCGGTTTGGGTTTGGGTTTAGGTTTTGGTTTGGGTTTTGAATTTTCTGGTTTATTCCAGTTATCATTGTCTTCTTCAGCGGTTTCTTGTGGCCAGTGATGTGAAGGATTTGGAGCTGGTATGTCATCCCATTCCGGCTCCACTTCTGGCTTCTGTTTCGGCGGTTTCTGCCAATTGTGCGCTGATTCGTGAGACGGCTTCGGCTTCGACGGTCTCTCCGTTTGACTCCAGTCTACCGCCGGTTCATTGAACTCATTATCGGACCAATCATTGTCTGGTTTCGGTTGTTGTGGTTTGGGTTGAGTCCAGAGGGGCGGCCAGTGGTGGTCAGCCTCGGGTTCTGTTTGCGGCCACTGTTGACTCGGTTGACCGTTAGGTCTGGGTTTCGGTCGCTTCTGTTGAGTCGGTCTTTGTTGCGGCCGTTCTTGCGGTCGAGAATAGTCAGAGTCTTCGGACGACTCGTATTCCGATTCGGGTTTCGGTTTCTGAGGCCTTGAGTTCGGTCTGCTTTGCGGTCTGTTTTCGTTTGGCTTATAATTCGGCGAATTTCTGGGTCTTTTCGGTCCTCTTTGGCTCTGAATCTGATTCCGATTCAAATGCCTTTTAAGTATAACTGGTTTTGTACCCAAACTGTCAGCACTTCCCTCTTCTTCAGCGCCATTGTCTTCATTAGATGGCAAACAAATATCGTGAGTGAAATCCTGCGCCAAAAACTGACTCTCATTTGGTGTCAAATCGTCGACTCTTTTGGCGACCGAACAGCGACTCACTATAGGAATGGCCGCCGACTCGTCGTAATGACCGAACAGAACAACCATTTGGTCGGTCGTAAAGTCTACGCCGCACTCGGAGTCGAGGGCCGGCGTATAGACATACAGCTTATCGGCTGAGATGTTGAGAATGTCTCTGAAAATACGGCTCACATTGACTGCAAGTCTGGTGTATCGGACAGAGTCCTGATCGCCCCAAACCTGATCCGAACGACCGCTCACTACCACTGCTTGCCATCCGAAGTCAAAGTCACAGAATCTGTTTTCAAGGAAATTGTTGTCCTCTTCGTGAGAACAGTTGCACCCAAACGACACCCCAATGAGGGATGCGATCAAAATGACAGTCCTATACATCCCTCGGAAAGCAGTCAAACTCTCGGCTCTACTATTTATATTGAATTCTTGCGTAAAATGTTTTATTTTTGTGTCAATGAAGTTTTGCAAATAATTACTAGATTTTCGTAATCTTTAAACTCATTTGAACCGATTTTTTGCTCAAAAAATGCTGTTATTTGTATACCATTTGTGAACTATTTTTATATTTGACTGTATTTTTTATAGACTTTAAACATTTTTGACTATTTAATGTACGAAAGTTTAATTAAATCCCAAAACATTATCAAAATAATTATAGCAAAAAATTATTTGTCTTGATTAGTCTAGGTCGAAAGGTTAACCTAAAACTTAGAAAACTAAACTCTAGAATTGTATAGACAGACAAAATTGAAATTGACACCAATATCTCATTGCCTTAAAAGTCATTGTTTTGAATAAATACAAATTTTTTTCTAAACTATTTCTCTACGAATTCTTGAATTCGGTATTCATTAGGAACTCATTTACGGTATTAACAATGCTTTGGATTAATTAAAACTGAATGATTAGTCAAAATTAATGATAATATGAGTCATGGAAACTAACACTGATTCTGATTCTAACATCTGTTTCAAAACCTTTGCACTCAATTTCCAATTGAGAATAAGTACATGAGTTTCAAATGTGTTTTCAAACCTTTGAGTCAAATATAAAAATGTCTTTATTTGGAAACAAATCTTTGATCTCAAGAATACAATCTCTGAAACGATTAGAAAATCACTAGAATTTGAAATTAAACGAAGAGAAGCGAAACCCGTCTCAAAGCCTTAATCACTATCGGCCGCAAAAAACTTAGTCATAGTGTCGGCAAAAGTGGCGGAACACGACTCCTCCAGTTGTCGCAGTCGACTGCAACTACAGGTATAAGAGTCCTGTTTCGTCGCCTTCTGCTTCTTTGACCCCTTCGTCGGCCTCTCCACCGGTTCCCTGGGATTGGTTTCGGGCCATTCCGACCACTCAGCGCCGTCTGGACCCTCATTGGCTTCTTCCTGATATCCCGGATACCCTGTGTTTGGATCGGGTCTTGGCTTTTGTGGTTTTGCAGATTCTGGCTTTGGTTTGTGTTTGTCGGGCCAATTGGGTCCCTGAGGCCACCACTCGGGCTCTGGTTTTGAAGGTTTCTGTGGTTTGTTGGCTGGCTTTTCGGGCCAATCACTCCATTCGGGTTCCGCGACGACTGGCGGCGGTCTCGGACGGGAAGGCCTTTCGGGTTTAGGGGTTTCGGGTTCGGCCTCTGTTTCACTCCATTCGGGATAATCTGGTTCAGGGAGTTGAGGTTTGGGCCGATGCGCCGGTTTGTTGGGTTTCTCGGGTTCCGGTTGTTGTCCATTCCATTGGTTCCATTCACTCCATTCGGGCTCTGGGTTGGGCTTCGGTCGCGAAGGTTTGGACGGCCTCTCGGACTCGGGTGCGGACGACCACTGGTTTCCGTTCCAATCGGGGTCTATGTTCGGGCGCTCGGGTTTGGGACGACTGGGTTTCGGTCTCTCGGCTTCCGCACTGTTTTGCCATTGATTCCAATCACTCCATTCGGGCTCTGGCTTTGGTTTCGATGGTTTGGACGGAGCTTCCGATTGCCAGTCGCTCCACTCAGGATCTACTGCCGGTGCCGGTGGTCTATGTTTTGAGGGACGGCTCGGTCTGTCTGCCTCCCACTCCTCCCAATGCTGCGACTGTTGGTCGGACGGGTGCTGCGGTTGTTTTGGCGGACGATTGGGTTTGTCGTTGGGCCAGGACTGCGGCCACGAGTTGGGCGGTCGCTCGCCTTCGCCTCCGGTCTGGGGTTTAGTTCGCGGGGGTTTCTGCTGTTTGGGCGGTCGCTCCTGATTCCAGTCCTGATTCGGCGGCTGTTTATTGGGTTTCTTCGCCCTTTGCGGC